ACGTCGGTTTTCACTTCCCCGTCAAAGGTCATGAACGGGGGGTTGGTGCCYGGGGCCAGGTTCTGCAGGTCTGCAGGTTTTCTGGGAAAGGAAGAGTCATGAAAAGTCCCTCTCCCTCCTTTTTATGAGCCCGTTGAGGCACTGGAAGGGGCTCTAAGGTCCCCTCAGAGCCTTCTCCAAACTGAACACCCCCAGCTCTCCCAGAGTCACCCTTTGAAATCCCCGTTTTTATTCTGAAAAGTTAAAATCCCAAAGTTAGGTTAGAATCTCACCTTTTCAAATCCACGGTTGTAACATTAAATATGACACCTTTGAGCCACAGGATCATAAAGAGGCGCTGAGAAAAGGGGCAGTTCCCAATACTTTCCCCATCRCTGCCAGCCTACAATTGTGAAAAATCACAAATTATAAATACAGCTGGGTATAAATCATAAATCACAGCAATCCTTCCAAAGGAAACAGCCTCCACCTCCTTTGGCTACGTGAACATAAATCTGCACAGATTGAAATGCCCTGGGAAAAATGGTGCCAAAGGCACTGCCAGGTCCCCACAGCAGGGAATGGTCAGGGATGGTCAGGAATTGGTCAGTAATGGTCAGGGATGGTCAGGAATTGGTCAGTAATGGTCAGGGATGGTCAGGGGAATGGTCAGTGATGGTCAGTAATGGTCAGTAATGGTCAGGGATGGGCAGGGAATGGTCAGTGATAGTCAGGGATGGTCAGGAAATGGTCCGGAATAGTCAGAGATGGTCAGTAATGGTCAGGGATGGTCAGGAATGGTCAGGAATGGTCAGTAATGGTCAGGGATGGTCAGGAAATGGTCAGGAATAGTCAGAGATGGTCAGGGATGGTCAGGGAGGGTCAGAGGATGGTCAGTAATGGTCAGGGATGGTCAGGGATTATCAGGGATGGTCAGGGGATGGTCAGGGATGGTCACAGAATGGCCAGGGATGATCAGGGATGGTCAGAGATGGTCAATAATGATCAGGGATGATCAGGGGATGGTCAGGAATGATCAGGGATGGTCAGGGATGGTCACAGAATGGTCAGGGATGGTCAGAGATGGTCAATAATGATCAGGGATGGTCACAGAATGGTCAGGGATGATCAGGGATGGTCAGTAATGGTCAGATATGGTCAGAGGATGGTCAGTAATGGTCAGGGATGGTCAGGCAGGGATCCTGCTGACCCACAGCTGCTCCAGAGGGGACAAACAGCTCCCTGCACCCTCAGGAAGACACTCGGTCCCCTCAGCTCGGCCATGGCAGGGGCGGCTGCCCAAAGCGCCTCTGTCCCTCTGATTTTCTTCACTCTGTATTTCAGGGGACCCACAGGGGCCTGTGGTCCCTGGCACAGGGTGCCCAGAGAAGCTGTGGCTGCCCCTGGATCCCTTTGAGTGCCCARGGCCAGGCTGGACATTGGGGCTGGGAGCAGCCTGGGACAGTGGGAGGTGYCCCTGCCATGGCACGGGTGGCACTGGGTGGGCTTTGAGGTCCCTCCCAACCCCAAGTGCTCTGAGATTCGATTTACAAAAACCCATCTACTCCCTGATGACACAAAGTGTCCTTTACCCCCTCAGTGTCTGGACAGTGCAGATTTCTGCTCCATTAAAACACTGAAACYCCCACCAAATTTACTTATTTTTCAGGAATATTAAAATATGAATATTAAATTCATTAAAATGATATATTGGCAATAGAAAAACCTTCTAAAATCCAAAATTGCTTCTGTTTGGAATTACAAAATTACTGCTGTCAGGAATACAATAAAAATTTAAAATGACAATTAATTTTGGTTTGCTGCATGCAACTCCAATGCATTTATTGCCAATTTAGATGATGCTCAGGAGCCCCACATTTGGCTCAGATTACATACAATCCAGAGCTTTTTGGGGGCAAGGGATGGATCACCTGGAATTTTCTCTTTTCATTCTGTGGCCTCGGGCAGGAGCCCGAACACCCAATTTTACAGAAACCTTTTGATGCCACCTACTGGGCTGGAAAAGCTGCTTTTGAGAGCACTTGAAGTGCTGAAATTGTAAATCCAGGTTAAACTTTCAGATAAATCAGCTGTCATTAAAAACACGTTTTTTGGGGAGAAAATACCAATTTTCCCACTCTTTATTGCAAAGTTTTAAAAACCCCAGAGCTCCTCCTACCCCCTCACATCCAACCCTACGAGCAGACGTTTATTTTCTCAGCCAAATAGCAGGAAAAAAATCCTGTTTAAAGTGTGGCTGGTGATTACTGCACATCAATTGGTGCAGAAATTGTATTTTTGGTGATTCCAGGGTGGTATTTTTGGTGATTCCAGGGCTGACTCTGCTGTGTGTGACATCCCCAAAGTGAAACTCAACAAGAGAGGTGTGGAAACAGCAGCTGGACATTTCTTCAGGTAAAAAAAAAAAAAAATTCCCTTCACTTTCTCTCTTTTGTAAGAGCAAAATGAAAACTTTCCACTGTCCCAGGGTGCTCCCAGCCCCATCCAGGCTGAACTTGGGYACTCCAGGGATGAGGGGCAGCCACAGCTTTTTGGGAATTCCATCCCAGGGCCTCCCCACCCTCCCAGGGRAGAGGGAAAGCCAAGTTTTCCTTTCTCCTCATGGACACAGGGGAAAAAACCCCTCAGAGCAGCATCCAGGCAATGTAAGTTAAAAACTGAACAAAAATGGAAAGCAAGGTCTGCTCCTCCTGGGTGGGGATCAGGGATTTTGGCCAAAGGCTGAGTTTGCCTCAAACACGGCATCAACTGAGACCATTTAGGGCTGCTCTGACCCCAAACCTGGCTTTAGCTGAGCTCCCACCTGCACCAAGGACGGACATTTTTCCCTCACTTTTTAAAATTTTGGGCAAGTTCACCGTCCCAGCCTGCCTGTTGTTTACCTCCTAATAGCCAAGAATTTATTGATGAAGACTTTTCCCCTTCTGTTTGGTGTCTGGAATTTGAGTATTCTGACTTTCATGCAGTGTCTGAATCAGTTTACTGTAATTATTTCATTTTAGTAGGTTTCAGAATTCATATGTTCAATAAAGCTCTCAACTAGAAATTACTCTTTGAGTGCTCCTGGTCCTCAGGCCATGCTCAGGGTGTAAAATGTTAAAAAGTGTTGGATATTTATGGGATATCTCCATGTTTTTATGTTCTGAGCAGTGCTCACAGCTCAAGGGGTGACATCTATCTGGGAATTCTAATTCTGTCTGGATGGAAGAGGGAAAATAAGGCTTAAGCTGTGTTTTCACAGAATTATGGAATCATGGAATGGTCTGGGCTGGAAAGGACCCAGAATTCATCCAGTGCCACCCCTGCCATGGCAGGGACACCTTTGTCCAGCCTGGCCCGGGACATTCCAGGGATCCAGGGATCCACAGCTTTTTGGGAATTGCATTCCAGGGCCTCCCCACCCTCCCAGGGCAGAATTTTCCCTCCTGTCCAGGTTCCTCTGTCCCTTGTGTTCCAAAAGCCACCTCAGAGCAGAGAAAGCCTCTTTCCTTCCCTCCCTGCTTTATTCACTGCCCAGGGGCTGCTGGGTGAGTAATTATTGCAGAAATTCACTTAATTACTCAGTGAGTCATTAAGTTCTCCTGATGCTCAGGCAGAAATTCTCCTTCATGAAGGAGCAGCTTTGTGCCACTCAACTTTTCACCTTGGTCCAGAGCCTTTTTAAAGAATGAGAAACAAAAGGCCCAGATTTACTCCTGCTGCTTACATAAAATACTCATTTAAATCTGATTTTCACATTAAAACCTGCCCAGTATTTCCACACCCATCCAGTTCTGATAAGGATTCCCCAGTTCTGATGAAGGTTATAAATAAATGAACTATTAAATGATAATTCTGTAAAGTGAACAAAATACAGAAGAGTGCAGGTGAAAATGAAAATGTGAGGTGTTTTTGTGTTTCATTTATAGAGGCTGTGGTTTACTGATATTCACCTTATTCACACTGAAGAGATTAAAGATTAAATTGATGAGTGAGGGCACTCTTTAAAAAAGAGGAAAAGAAACAAATTCTGTGATTTTAAAACTCTRCTGTCACCTTGAGCCAGGTCCCTCATGGTGTCACAGGAATTTCCAGCCACAGCTGGAAAAAAAAATCCCTAAAATCAATGAAATTGATTTACAATCAAACGAAAGTACAAAGGAAAAATGAAAAATTCACATTTATTTTCTCTAATATATCTCCCTACAGCAGACCTGCATTTAAAACCACTGCAGATATACAAGATTTAGTAGAATACGGAAAATTAAATAGAAAAATAAATAGGGAAATTTAATGGTGCAGTGAAAGACTGAAAAACTTCAGCTGCATTTCTGCAGAGTTTAAATGAATCATGCCTAGTTTAGGAGTATCTTTCTGCCAGGTGAGTAATTGCTATTTTGTATTTTGCACMGGTTAACCTTGGTTTGTGTCTYGTTCAAAACAGCTTTGATTGGAATCATCCCTWTCTGTTTGCTTTTTTAGGAGATGACGACAATGAATTTTTGTCTTTGTAGGAAGGAATTGTTCCCTGGGAGGGTGGGCAGCCCCTGGCACAGGGTGCCCAGAGAAGTTGTGGCTGCCCCTGGATCCCTTTGAGTGCCCAAGGCCAGGCTGGACATTGGGGCTCCGATCGCTCCCCTTGATCTTTCTCCAGTCTCATTTTGATTTTTTTGGGGGGGATTATTTTCTTTTTTTTGAGGGGGGGGATTTTTTTTTTTGGTTTTTTGGGGGATTATTTTCACAACCTTGCCAGGAATGGGAGAAAACCCCGAGCCCTTTAAGCAAACCAGGTGCAGTCAGAGCAGGGAGACACCGCCCAGTTCCAGGTCACTGGTCTGGATCCCACGCCAGGAATTCCGTGTTGGTGTTCCCAGGAACATTCCCAGGTCACGAGCAGCCCCAAATGCTCTTACCCCTTTATCCTGTTACAGGAATTAGGGTTCAAGCCCTCCCAGCTATTCCCAATCCCCGTTTAATAATGTGGCCAGGCACCAGCCCGACCTGGAGACAAAAAAAACCCTCACATTTGCTTCGGAAATTCTTACGGGGAATTACTTCAACAAAAGGGTTTTGTACTCCTGACCGTGTTATAGGGAGGGAAAAAGGGATTAACTGGTATTTCTGTGATCCATCCTGCTTTAAACTGCRTTTGTGCTGACCCTGCAACACGGCTGGGCTGGTTCAGGCTAAATTTGATTTATACTAAAGTTTTATACAAAAACTGTATAGAAAAACAGTTGTAAATATATAAAAACTGTATCTGTACTTGTAAATATATAAAAGCTATATCAATACTTGTAAATATATAAAAACCGTATCTATACTTGTAAATATGCAAA